CCGACTGAATCTCTGTGAGGATTGAGCAGCTCGCTTATTTGCCTCAGGGCATGCAGGACAAGCTTAAAAAGCTGATGTGTCTGCTTGGCCCTGAGGGCATGCAACACCTCGCTTTGCAAGGACCTGGAGCGATAAGCGCGCGCCTAGAGGTGTTTCCAAGCTATGAAAATGCTCTGCTAGAGCACCTACAGCAGAAGATGTCGGCGTCTACTGCGTCCACGATGCCACCGTCGACGACAGATGACTCTTCCCGACCCAGGTCACCCATAGTGAGCTTTAAGACCTTTGAGGGTAAGGATGGAGGGAATCAGCTGCTCTGGGAGAGGGAGGTGGCACCCGTTATGCTCCAGACCAAGCAACAGCGCGTGCCGCTAGCTATCTCCAAGCTCGGGGGTCAAGCACGAGAATGGGCACTGACGTGCGGCACTTCAGTTGAAGCGGCGTTTCTCTCCTGAACAGAGCAGAAGCTGCGGCTTATACGAGTATTTTTACCACCTAACCAGGCATACCGCTTGCAATCGCGTTTCGTTAACGACCGACAGGGCAAGCAGAAATTGGTGGACTTTGTCCAATAGTTGAGAGCTTTCATGGCCAGGATGGCAGCCGATCCTCTTTCTTAGGCTGTTACAGCTACAGTCTTTATGGATGTCCTCCGCACTGGCGTGGCCGGAATGGAAGTCTTCCGTGAGCTCCCATCTTCTTTTGCAGAAGCAGTGAATGTGGCATTAGATACCGGATTCAACTATGTCGGCACGATTCGGTTGGAATGCACACTCTAGCAACTCGTCGAGCTGGCCAGAGCCGATCGATCTCAGCTATGCTGAAAAAGAGGAGAGAGAGTTTCAAGCTGCCGAGGAGCGTTCATACACCGGACAGTGTTTTGTCGGTAAAAACATCTTCGTACTGGTTGTCCGCATCGAACCGACGTCCCGCTATCACCAGTCTTCTGGTTGTCGAAGAAGCGACATCACCAAGTAGGTACGGGGAGGCCTAGTTCTGCTGAACCTTAAAGAGAAAGAGGTCAACA